GGGGGGGGGAGCGAAACCGGGGACAAACTCTGTCAGAAGCCCCTCACAGCCGGGTTTCGCCCGGGCGCCTGGTGGGTGCCCGTCTCAGGTGTTCCACACGGGGCTGGCTTTATGGCCTGCTCCTGGCAAAATGTAGAAAAATGTAGCCACTGTCTGGATTTGGCCTCGTGTTTAACTGGCTGTCGCTTTCCCTTCTGGGTCTTTCAGTGGTACTTGTTCCACGCAGTTTTATTTCTCATGTAATTTTTGTGCTCTAAAAGCTACCAAGCAGGGTTTACCCAACTGGTATCCTCGTACAGCATGGTATCAGCATGTACTTTTGAAATGTCCTGTTTGGTTTGGATTGCAAAGCTTTTATATAGATGTATTTTATCATTTTAATAAACACAATAAAATTTTATTTTGCAGGCTCTGCATGTAGCAGAGCACAGCCCTCCTTTTTTTTTTTTTTTTCAGCACCAGCGGGTACTTCTAGATCTTCTGCATTTATATTGTTATTTTCCTGCCAGAGGATCGCAAATTGTGTTATAGACCTCACTTAATGTGTAGCCACTTCATGAGTGGGATGTGGAAGCACAAAAACTTTAGGTCATAGGAAGCTCAACTGGAACTCACATAACCTTTTTTTCACTGGGAATGCTTTTTTTTAAAAAAATACACATAATGTCCTACTATCAAATAACGCACTTTAGTAATCACACATCCTAGACTTAAACTCTGAATTTCTAGAAGATACAGGCATGCATCCTCTGAAAAAACGCAGTCCTCTGCCAACTTTATAAGCACGTAGCCCATGTAGTACCAAATTTTTAGGAGCCTTCAGCCTTTGTCTAACTGCTGTTGATAAACTCAGCAACAGAGCACTCATTTCTGCTCCTGAGAGTACATTAAACGATACAGCTTTTGTTTTGCTTAAAAGAAGGCATCAGGAAATGTGACATATAAAGTGATGTTATCTTGTCATTTTCATAATCTGACACAATTGAAGGTCCTGAGCTTTCTTGAGACAGAGTGGCATTGCACAAGTGGCAGAAACCAGAGTCAACTTCCATACGAGAGGGTAATACAGCAGACTTGAAGAAATCTTTGAAAATGCTGAGAATATATTTGGAACAATATAAGGCTGAAAATGCAGCTGTATAACATATATCAATGCTTGCAGCTAATAAAAGTGAGTAGGTTATTTTATAACACCTGAACAATATTTTTAGTTGTAAAATCTCATCTCAAAAGGATCTTTAAATTCAAAGTGAAACAGCTTCACAGGCTGACCTAGCCACTAGTATTTAATTAGCTTCTGGATGATTATTCTTTTTTAAAGTTTATGTTCATGATTAAAGTCATGCTGTTCGCATGCTCTGATTCTGCAAAAATAGTCATCAGCTGGTGAACAAAGGACAGATAATATTTAAGTGTGGCACTTTTTTCACTCTTCTCAGAAACTGCTCCGAGTCATAGCAGCTTCATCATCACAGTTCTGAAAACATCCGAAACTCTGTCTTCCTGCTGGTGTGTGGTTTTACATCTTCAGCCTCATTTCTTTCTATACAGCATACTTACTGTGTTAGTGGACACATCGGAGCAACCTGGACCAGTGTGGTGCCCACTGCACCACTTTGAAAGAGGAGAGTTTTGTGTCTCCGTTTACTCTCTTCTCCGAGCCCATGAGAAGGTTCAGCTCTGGAGGGCCTCAACAACATGAATCACAGGCATTGTCTGGAGTCTGCAATTTGACTAAATAGTCTGTTCTTTCAAACAAAAGCTGCCATGGAAATTCTGTTGTTCTGAGAGTTTAATCACTTAGTTGGAAAAATCCATGTGTAAGGTTGGGCAAATTACAAAAGGAACTAAAATACGGTTTTGAATTGTTAAGACATTTCTATGGCCAAGCAACACATTACCGTAATTTGGTCCAGGCAGTTTCTTTCCCCCCTCCTTAAAAAAGATATCCATCTTCTGAATACTTCACCCAGGCTTTTAATTGATGTAAAGAAAAAAAGTGGAGTGAGAAACATATCTAAATTGGGATGGGGTCATTTATTTCTCAAAATGGGGCCAGGGCAAAGGCTAAAGCACAGAAGAGCAAGTTACCCTGCAGTTATGCAAACACAGAGCAGAGGATTTGATGCTCTCTGTTCCGTAGATAAGCACAGTTTCTCAATGGTCTGATATTTTTGACAGATTTTTGCAAGTGTATAGAATAAGAATAAATCACATTTAAATGAGAAGGGACACATCTGTATTCGTTTTGCCCAGATGGAAGTAACAAAATACGCAAGGTGCTAGAGAATGAGAAGACAAGCTTTTAAAAACCTCCTCTAAATTTTTAATGTGGAATTCAATCTGGAATGGGGCAAAGACATAGTGAGGTATGAATCTGCTAACACTTTTTCACCACATAAGCATTTTTTATTTTTCTTCTTATATTCAGGCTTTTATAAGCCCAGCTCAGAGAACCTCAAGAAAATCCAAAAATGGCAAGGCCATCTTCCCTTCAAGCTCTGAAAAATAGGCAGTAATAAGATCACCTATTAGAAGCTGGTGATGTTTGAAGTCATATATCTAAACTTGCTGTAGGGAAGGTGTTTCAGGTAGAAAAAAAAGAAAGAGGGACCTGGTCTTGGAAGACTTTGTGCTCTGCAGTCAGCTGCTCTGATGGTAATTTTCTTTTGAGTTATTATCATTGATGCGCTTCTCATTCTACCTAGGCCCGGATAAGAGATGCGGCATGTAAGAAGGGTGGAAGAAAAGGAATGCAAAAACCTCATGTCTTGAGGCAGTTCTGACCTGCAGTATCTTTCTCCAGTGATGTTGGGCATTTGAGGATGTCTGCGCTATATGGCAGAAATATTTGAACGATCAGGAGATTGACTCCAAAATTATTTTTTGCTGGCCCAAACCTGTGTTACAATGTTTTGTTCACTGGGTACAAAAGTTTGCCTGTTTTGATTTTACTGATGGTAGAAGTGTTGGAGTAGGAAACAAAGTCAGTTTATTCTCTTTATCATGCATAGTAGTTTGTATCTCTACCCTTTTCAATGGATATTTTGCTCCAGCTGTGTGTTTAATGAAAATAAAGTAAGTCGATCTTTTTGTAAACTTTTCATCAACTGATTACATCAATTTCCCATGTAGGTGATTTGCCATCCCAGGTACCAAGAATCCAAAAGAATTGCAATCTTTCTGAGCATGCCAGATGAAATCCAGACAGAAGAAATCATTAAGGACATTTTTAAGCAAGGCAAAGAGTGTTTCATCCCACGTTACAAGCCTGACAGCAATCACATGGACATGCTGAAGTTATCATCAGCTGAAGACATTTCTTCACTGACTTTAACATCCTGGAATATTCTTCAGCCTAGTGATGATGACAGTGCAAGAGAGGAGGCTCTTGCTGGTGGTGAGTATTTTCTTCCTACGTTGTGGTGTTGTTGAGCAGTTGTAGCCTGGAGGTCAGTATGAAATAAAGTCATAGCAAGAGTAAAATGAAATGTTACGCTTTGGTTTTATATGTTGTAGAGGTGCTTAAGTTGATCTAAGCAGATGCTCCTTTCTCTTGCCTCTTTTCTCTACCCTGTGGCACGCCTGTGATATGCCAGCAGGGCAGGAATAGGACTGCACAGCTGATCCAGCTGAAGGAAACTCGGCCCTCCAGGTAAATCAGCTTCTTGGTCCCATTCATGGACATCCTCAGTGCAGCCTCTGCAGGCATAACACAGAGGCTCACGAAGGAGGCAGGGGCTTCCCAGGAGTGGCTTAGGCTGCCATTGAAAGTCAGGGGGGATTCACAGTTTTAGGATGCACTCTGAGAACTTCAGTTTGCGCTGCCTGAAAGGTAGGGAACTTTTCAGGTGATGCCTGTAGGCTGACATGAGAATTTTCTGAAATCTTTGATCCTGCAAATTGTATTGCATGGATGAATCACAGTGCTGATACGGAGCCTGCCCATGCAGAACAGCTCTCCAGACTGAGACCTTAGACTGAAAATAAAAGGACTTTCTCCTAGGCCTGGATAAATGCTGCAAAGTCTTTTCCATCAGTATGCTCTCACATTTTAGTTTTGATCTTATAATGCTGTCTCAGACACTGAATTCTTCATAGGGTTGAAAAGTTAAAAGTTCATCTATGTATAGCAAGTGTGTTTTGGTCCCAAAATAACCTCGCTCTTTCTTAACCTAAAATTCCCCAACTTCTACAAACTTGTAAACAAACTTATTTTTCTGTGTCTGCATTCATTATTTGCATTCTTTTTGTAAACACACTAATATCTTCCTGAAACATCTGCAGAAATATTTAATGTTATTAATGGAAAACTCATGTTGAACTCATGCTTGAAACCTCAGTCTGGGAAAATTTTCTCTAGGTGGAAATTCACCATGCAGACAGCTTCCACACCTCACAGATTTAACAGCTTTTTAATGCTTGATAAAGGAACATAAATATCGCTGTTTGGTTAAACTGAGGTTTGTATTTGCTTTGGGATGCCAGTGTACTTTCCCAGAACACTTCACTGTATTTGTTTCTCTTTTATTTTCAATCTTTACGTCTCTCCTAATTCAGAATCCTTTCTGTGCCCACATTTTAGCTAGCAAGAGATTTCACTGCTTCATACAACCATCTTCTTTACATTTAGTATTTAGCACTGTTACTTGTTTTCCTAATTTTTGTCAAAAAAAATGTGTATATTGGTGGAATTTAGGGGCTTTTGAAGGTAACCCTTAAAATGTCCAGCGTTCTGTAACTGGGCTCAGCTCAGGCACTCAGGACAAGTTTTTATACTACTGATGAGATGCTGTTAATTGAATTTAAGAAGTCTGTTGCAGAGATCAGAGAGTAAATGCACAATTTTAGGTATGATGGGAGCAAGGACTACCTGGTGTGGAGTGCACTGGGATGTGTCGGTTAGTGATGGCCCAGGTGCCAGGCAGTGAAGATGGGGGAAAGCAGGAGCACCTTTGGTACCTGGCTGATTCTGGAGCTGCTGTTTTGTCCTCTGCACCAGGGTATGGTTATGGGCAGCGAGCAATGCCCAGAGAGCTACAGCAGTCTACAGAGGAAGGCCAAGAGACCTATAACTGGGAGTTGTAACAATTGGTGTATGTCCATGTCAGACCTGTTCAGCCTGAAGCTTGGTTTTACTCTGTTTGTACTCAGTAACTTAGAATTAATTCGGTTTGGATTGGAAGTGGGACCTTGGTCCTTTATTCTTGGATGGGTTTTGTAGATTAGAGAATAATTTTAGGGTTTTTTTCACTATTGCGTAATCAGACCCCCTCCCAGTTTGTCCCCACGGAAACACACACTGCATCTCAGTGTGTCTTTACATTCCTTTTGCTGTATTTTCTGTTTCAGACACTGTTTTTTGAACTTTGGTACATTTGCAGGAATGCAAATTGCCTTGCTACTACATCCATCCTCCATTGTTGGAATTATGCATGGATGAAACATTTATCTCTGTGATGTTATCAAATACTGTGGTGATCTGAGGCATTTACATTGTTATAAGGAGATAACATGGTGTTATATTAGTAATGTTCCCATTGCTGGCATAAGTTGCTATGTAATTTCCAAGAAATACCCTGCAGGTACATAAATAAGTCATGTCACTTCTGAGTGTATTCATTTTGCATGACAAAAAGCTTAAATTCACACTGTCCTTAAAAGTTCAGGCATAGTTATTGTGAGGAATAGCTCAAATATAGGACTAGGTATAATTTTTGCATAGAGTTTCCCAGTCTTTGGTGGCACTCAGAAGCTAGGTTGAATAGACAGGAGCCTCTCCTTTTGGAGACAGTCCTTCTGTTGGATCAGGGTTTACCCATTTTCATCGTGGCAGTATACCACATTACACCTTGTTAGCATAAAGATCACTAGTTTTGGTAGGAGAAAGTCTGTCATCTTCTCGACCATGCATGGGTGGCAGTAATTGTCATATGAAAAGTTGATTTCTTTAGGCTAAATAGACAGAGTAACAGAAAGAAAAAAGGTGGAAGAATATTCAGATATTTTGTTTGGAGTAGTGGTATATGTAGGTGCATGACTTGGTTAATTTTCAGCTATACCTGCTGAAGTATTTAGACAACTCTAGGAGCAAGCCAGTGGTACATTTTCTTAATAGGTACCAATTCCCATTTGTATCCTTGCCCATCAGAAGTATAAAGGTGCACTGGTACCAGGTTTTGCCCAAGGTAATATTTTGGTGAAAGTTCAGGTGGGTTGCAGTAATTGTTTACAGGAGTGTAGAGACCTTGCACAACTTTGGAAGGAGTAAATCAGATAAAACCATGCTCCCTGTTTGCTTTTTATCATGACTCCTACAGAAATTTAAAGGACACTTCACCAGCAGCTCTAATTTCAATGTGGTTTAGGGAGGCGGTGTGATTCAGCGGGCTGGACATGGGTTTTCTCATTTGTAATGTTATTTATTATTACTTAAACCTGCTCTGAGAACTATGGGTGAAAAGCTAAGTTATTCCTCCGGAAAAGAGATTATTCTTATTGGGACTCAAAAAAAAATTGACTGGGTTGAGTATCTCCATATGGTAAAATTCTTGGAGGTGGCTTCTTTGGAGGGAGGCAGGTGGCCAACTTTGGACTGAGGAATCTCAGCTGGAGGTCTTGGACCTGAGGAAATGTTATGCTTAAATGTTCATCACTGAACTGAACTACTGACTAGTAGCTGAAGGTGTACAATAAATTATATACAACTTTTAAAACATTCACCTGGGTGATGGTGAGAGGGGTTTTGGCCTAGATGTTTTTTATTTTGCCAAAAAAATGAAGGGTTATTAGACATTATGGCTCTGAATCTGCTTACTCTAACGGACTGTGAGGAACTCTCCTAAGAAATGCAAGAAATGGGTTTATATGTACAAACTTACTTCAGCCTTTTTATCTGTGTAAATTCTGCCCTGGTCTTTAAGTACGTTATTACATAGTCCTTGCCCATTGGATCTGGGTTCATTCAAAGATGAGCCCAGATGCGGTGATTTGGGCTCTTTGAAAGATGCAAAAGATGAACACTGCTTGCTCTTAATGAATGCTGCTAACGAGTATGCGCTCAGTCATTTGTTTTCTCCCTGTTGTTCAGGTTAGAGCTGCAGGCCTTTTTTACTCTGCATTATTCAAACTTTGATGTGGAGACAGAGGTCTTCTTCTCTGTATGGGCTCTTCATCACGACAGCGTTCAGTCACTTAAAGATATTAACTGGTATTTGCTGATGGAGAGGCAGCAGAGGCGCAGGATCCTGGTTCCAACCTGAGTTGTGCAGAGGAGATGCCACCAGTGAACACTGACTCTTTTGCTTGTTTTTCCAAACATTATGGTTTCTTCTCTGTTCCCTCCAAAATTATAATTTCCCAGACTTGTCTCATCCTTGGGCTAGATCCCCTTTCCAAGCTTTAACTTCTCTGCCATCATAATACATCATAATAATAATCCCATCCTTCCGCTCTTTGCCCAGCCGATGTGAATCTCCCTCTCCAAGTGTCCTTCTCTGGCCTTTCTCACCATATTCCCCGTTTCCTCCTGCTCTCAGACCCAGCCTGTCATTTCAGGGGCAGCTGGGCCAACAGAAATAGCTCACCCCTGCCAAAAGGGAGGAGGAGATCATGTGCTTTGTCTTCTTTCACTTGTCCTCTTCCAGACATACAAGATTCCCCGTCCCAATTTACTCATTTCCTTCCCCACTGGGCTGACTTCTTTCTGTTTTTCATTGGGTTAGAAAAACTCTGTTAAATAGTACTTTCTGTACTAAGCAGTACAAAGTACATAGTTTTGTGATTGTTTCTTCTGGGCAGTGCCTGATTAAATAAGCCACTGCATTCTATCCTCCTCTTGGTCCCCACTCCTCCTCTCCTGTGCCACCACAGATGCCCCTGCAGCCACATTACTGGGAAACCAGTCTTGGTTAGAAGTAACTCAGCACCAATAAAAGGCTCTTCTTCTCTCAAACAGTGCCACCAGACAGATCTGGGCTGATGCATCTGAAGGGCTGGTAGGAAGCTGGTGATGAGGGATTGTGTAAACGGGTGACGTGCCAAAAAAAATCTTAGTGAAACTTCAGTCCTCATTTCCTTCCATGTTTCAGTTCCCAGTCTTGCCCCAGTCAGCGGGACTAGGACCAGCCACCGAAATGAAAGTCCTTCGGAGACCTTGCGGTTGGGGCTGGCAGGAGGAGCTGAGCCTGCAGCTCCGTGTGCTCTGTCTTTGCAGCAATACTGGCTTAAGGAGTTTTCGCTCCTTGTGTTTTCAGCATATTCCTGCTCCCCAGGCTGGATCAGCCTGCTGCTCTGGATGAAGGGTATTGTCCTCCTCTCCTCCACCCTGTTTTTGCTGGGATTTTTTTTAACCCAGATGAGTGGATCCAGTTTATCGTGTGGCTGTATCAGCACAAGGTG